CCACAGGAGGCTCTGGGCAGGCCAGCTGGTGCCGCATCTCCTCCAGGGCCGCCAGCACCCAGCCCACGGTGCCGTCCCCTCCACACACCAGCACCCGGAAGCGGGGCATCTGGGCGAACACGTGGAGCCTGGAGGGAGGGAGGCGGGGACCGTCTGCCACAGGCAGGAGGAGGGGCCCGGCGGCCAATGGGGCTGCAGCTCACCCCCACCCGAGACACCGAACCCCAACTGTCCCACCGGCCCGTCGACAGGTGTGAGAGCCCCCCGCAGGGCCTGTGCCGGCCCCCACCAGACTCACCCAGGCAGAGGCCCCCCGTTGGTCAGCTCGAAGACCTGGTGAGGGTTCAGCAGCTTCCGGAAACTGCAGAGCAGGTCCCGGCCCTTGAGGCCTCCGCTCTTGGGGTTCACAAACACGAGGAGGGGGCAGCAGTCTGGGGGCAGCTTCGTGTGCTGAGAGATGGGGGCCGAGTTACGGCAGGTGTCTCCCCACCTCGCTGCCTGGGCAGTGGCTTCTCCCACCCCTCAGCCCAGCTGGCCTGAGCCCACCTGGAGCAGCCCCCTCCCCAGGAAAGGGCCCAGGGGGCCACACAGCATCCCCGCTCGCCACTGACCTCTGGGCCACCGGAGGCAGAGGGGGCACCGCAGCGGCAGCCTGGAGCTCTAGCTCTCAGGCCGAGGCCCAGCCGCTGACACGACCCGAGACCTCACCCACTGCCTCGTCCAGGCAGCACAGCCCAGCTGCACCTGCCCCTCTAGAGCCTCCTGGTGCAGCCTGGGAGGCCGCAGCTCCCAGGACCCCGCCCACCACACAGCAGCCAGGAGCCCAGTTCCCGGGCGACCACACACCTCCCTCCCCGCAAGGTCAGGACGAAGCCCTCCTCCCCAATCTCCACAACACAGTGCCCAGGAGACAGCGGGCAGGAGGCCGGGGTCCCTGGGCAAGGCAAGTCGGGGGGCTGGGGTCCCCACAGTGAGGTGGCTGCTGGCTGAGACATACAGGTTGGGCGCTAACTCCGTAGCCAAGAACACACTTGGGGTGACGTGTGACCCACGGCAGAGCTGCCTGCAGCACCATTCTCTGCTCACCGGGCAGGAGGCTCCCGGGAGGGCAGTGCGAGTCAGCATCAGCCAGCTCTGCCCAGGGCTGGTGGGCATCCTGTCCTGAGCCAGCTCAGGGGGAGGGGCAGTGGGCACCTGCAGGCATCGCCCACTTGGTCACGCTCAGGTCACAGCTGTCACTGCTTCCCCTGAACCCTCAGGGGCAGGGCAGGTGCAGACACCTGGGGACCCCTCACCCTGCCCTCGTCCCGGGCTGGCTGCCAGCACCCTCCTCCAGGCACCCCTCCTCCACCACCCTCCTCCAGGGACCCCTCCTCCAGCCACTCTCCTCCACCACCCTCCTCCAGGCACCCTCCTCCACCCCCCTCCTCCAGGCACCCCTCCTCCACCACCCTCCTCCAGGGACCCCTCCTCCAGCCACTCTCCTCCACCACCCTCCTCCAGGCACCCTCCTCCACCCCCCTCCTCCAGGCACCCCTCCTCCACCACCCTCCTCCAGGGACCCCTCCTCCAGCCACTCTCCTCCACCACCCTCCTCCAGGCACCCTCCTCCACCCCCCTCCTCCAGGCACCCCTCCTCCACCACCCTCCTCCAGGGACCCCTCCTCCAGCCACTCTCCTCCACCACCCTCCTCCAGGCACCCTCCTCCACCCCCCTCCTCCAGGCACCCCTCCTCCACCACCCTCCTCCAGGGACCCCTCCTCCAGCCACTCTCCTCCACCACCCTCCTCCAGGCACCCTCCTCCACCCCCCTCCTCCAGGCACCCCTCCTCCACCACCCTCCTCCAGGGACCCCTCCTCCAGCCACTCTCCTCCACCACCCTCCTCCAGGCACCCTCCTCCACCCCCCTCCTCCAGGCAC